AGCCCTCTGCCTAACTCTGATCCCATCCCTCCCACTCCCCAGCTTCCCTGGGTTCCTCCTTCTTCCTCCAACATGCCAGGTGCACCCCTGCCTCAGGACCTTTGCACCTGCTCTTCCCTCTGCCTGCCTAGACCACTCTTCCCCCACAGATCCACATGGCCCACTGACTCACCTCCTTCAAGTCTTCTGCTCAAATGTCACCACCTCAGTGAGGCCTTCCCTGTCCATTCTATTTAAAACTACAGCCCTTCCCCCACCTCCCCTACACCCCACCTCTCCCCCTGATGATTCCTTATCCCCTTCCCTGATATATTTTTCTCCATGGCACTTATCATTTAACATAGTGTATGTTTTACTTCTTTTGCTGGTTTATTGTCTGTCTCTCTAGAATGAGGTCATGAATTTGTGTCTATTTTGTTCACTGCTGTATAATAAGTGCTCAATGAATATTTTTGTCGGATGAGTGAGGAGCTGTCTTCAGGGCTGGCACTCATAATCACTATACACTGTGTGTGGTACACTGCGTTAACTGCTTCGTATTGGCTTCTGATCACGTCTCTCCATCTCCCCTGCCCTTGCTGGGATCCAGGCAAAAAAGCCCTCTTCCCTGAAGTCTGTTCTGGCTACATCCCAGTCCCCATCTGGCCCCTTCCCCTCCGTCACCCCTCTGCTGCCCATGTCACTCCCCTGCTTCAAGTCTCCCAGTGACTAGGATTCCACCTTGTAGCCACCACACGAGGGTTTTTCATACTGTTGGTCATGACCTGTTAGTAGACTGAAAATCAACCAGCATTGTTTCAGTAGAAAAGAACAGATCAGCGTCTGTGCTTATAGTGTGGACATAGGATAGACTAAGTTATAGGTGAATTTTGACTTCATGAAATTTTTGTTTCAGTGTAATATACATTGACTCATGATTAAGTGTATTTCTTACTATGGGTCCACAAAAAAAATCGCAACACCCCGCATAGACCCAGTCCTGCTTCTCTGCTTCTCCTAAATCCCAAGTACAGACCAGATGGATGATATTAATATCAACTCTTGACTGCGACCCATGCTAAGTGGTTTTATCTGCTTTTGTTCTTGGACTCCTCGCCACACCCTAAACACTATAATGATTCCCAATTGACAGATGGTAAAACTGAGGCTCAGACTAGATAAAGCTCTTGCCTGAGGTCACTGGGCTGGGAAAGAGGAAAGCAGGACTTGAACCCCAGTCGACCTCCCTCCTTCACCTATCCACTCGCCTGCTTGCCCTGCCCCTCCCAATCTGCCCCCCACCTACACAGAGTACTTGGTGTGCCATCCCATCCTCAGAGCCCCCAGGTGCAAGCTGCCTCATAGATCCTCCAACACTACAGCCAGCAGGACTGTTTGAACTCCCACTTTTCAGGCTAGAAAACTGAGGCTAGAAAGCATTTCCAAGAATCCACCATCCTATTACCCTTTTCCAAACTCCACTCTTTGAGGGGCAGGAAAGAGAAATGGTTAAGGACATGTCTTTGACCACCTGGGTTCAAATCCCATGCTTCATAACTTTGTAGCTGTGTGATCCCAGGCAACTTCTCTGAGCCTCAGTTACCTTTCCTGCAAAACAGCAATAATAATAGTACCTATACCCTAAGGCCATGCTTAAGACTTAAATAAGTTGGAATGCTTGCAAAGTTCTTAGATCAGTGGCCACACCCCTCTGCTGGGAAGATTCTCAGCAGCCCTGTATAATTGGACTATTATTTGCCCCCCAACTTTGTCACAGAGAGGGGGAGACCCTTTCCTGAGTTCATACAGACAGAAAGTAGGAGGGTCAGAATTTGGATGCAGGTCTGCCTGGGCTTTTCACCACAGTTACAATAGTCCTGCGGGATGTTAGTTTCAACAGCAACAGCAGCGACATTTTCAAAATTAAGGAACATAAGACTCAGAGAGGGTAAGGACATGCCCAAGTCACACAGCATGTAAATGGCAGAGCCAGGATTTGAACCCAGGCTGTGTGTGTCTAGATGCAGGCTGACCTTTATCCCATGAACCCCTCCATAAAGCTCTGATGGGCAGGAGGAAAAAGCAAGTAGAGGGCTGCCCTTGTCCCAGCGCAATCTGATGGTCTTGTATCCCTGGATCCAGACCCTGCCCAGTCTTGGGTGGCTCTAGGGTGGGAGTGCTGGGGTGGCACAGATGATGGCAGAGGGGGCAGCAGTCCCCTCTGCCGGCCTCTGATTGGGTCCCTGCAATCCCCCAGGATTTGGTGCTTGGAAAGCTGACGTTGGGTTGCTATGGCAATGGGTTTGGGGCGGTTGCCATAGCAGCAGAACTAGCCGGGGTTTAAAAATATCTAGGAGGAGGTTTGTGTTTGTGTGTGAGTGTGAGTGCGTGACCGACCATGCTGTTGTGTGTGTCCAAACGGGAGGGTTTGGCAGGGGGTGTGGAGCTGGGGCTGCAGGCATGACTTGGGGGGTGGGCGCTGAGCATCACACGGGACTCCATGCGTGTTGTGCATGTTGCTGAACGGTCTGTGAGGTCTCGTGAGTTGTTTGCATTGGACTATGTGGGCCACATATCTAAGTGTGTGTGATTACTCCATTTGTGTGGAAGGCATGATTGAGTCAGTTTGTCAGTCTATAAGAGCACATGTCAATAACATGTATGCCTTATGTAACATAGGTGTTTGTCTTGTGGCTGGGATCATGTACTTGTAACTTCTCAGGTTGTGCTTAGCCAAGTGTGGAGTTGTTTTGGCTCTAAATATGTGCACCTGGGACATACTCAGATATTAGAGGTGCATGTGTCTGTGTGTGAGAGCCAGTGATGTGGTTTTGGGTCCACATGACTGAGTGTGCATTATGCATTATGGGTGAGGGCGTGTGTGTGTGTGTGTGTGTGTGTGTGTGCATGCCTATCCCCCAAGAGTCGTCTTCATACATCAGAGTGTACCTGTGTGAAACTGTTGAATGTGTACCTGTGTGTCTGCAGGAGGGCTTGTGTGACTAGGGGGGACTTCACACCCAACTCCATGAATGTTGGGATATGTACCTGTATGGTGTGAGTGTATGTGACTCAAAGGGTCTAAGGTGTGGATCTCGGCCTGACCCCTGTATCTCCCTGCATCCCTCTTGCCTCTTCCCGTCTCCATGGCAACCTGCTCCTCAGCTCACTCCAGGAAGATGGAGGGGGAGGACCCAGACTGCAGTGGACCACAACCCCCTACCATCCCCCTTGGCTCTGGGGACAATGGGGGGGGGAGGGGACAGATGGGCAGCCACCCCATCCACCCCAGGCCATCTGCTACCCTCCCCATCCTGGAGACCTGAAAGCATGGCAAGGGAGGGACAGCAATGGGATGGAGCAGAGGGAGGGGCCCCCCAGCTGCCACAATCACCCCCATCCAGACCTCCTCTGAGCCTGATCTTGCCTCTGGCTGACCTAGGAAGGAAAGAATCCTTGGAGACCAGGAATCCAGGGAGAAGAAAATTCATGTGTCAGAGAACATTGAATATAAGCAATGATCAGTTCCGAGGAAGGGCCCCATTACTTCCAATAACTTCGGGCTCTGAAATTAAGCTTGTCCTGCGTTTAAATTCCAGTTTTCCCTCTGTCTACCTGTGTGCCCTTAGACAAGCCACACTCCACGTTCCTGTGCCTCCACCTTGTCATCTGAAAATAAGGTTTTGTTAATGACATGAATAATAGTGCTTTACAAGGGCCAAAGCTGTTTTGTTCCCTGTTGTATCCCAGCGTTTGGGACAGTGCCTGGTACTTAGTAGGTGGTTCATAAGTGCTGTTGATTGAGTTGAGCTCCAGTTGAGTGCTAGGCTCAGAGCTTCATGCTTTAACTCAAGTGTTCATTGAATCAGTCTGAGCCCTTGCAGTAAATCTGTGTTGATTCTTCAAGAGATGGATGCAAGATTTGAGGGAAAACTTCCCAGTTCTCAAGGGTGAGAGATATGTGACGTAGGATTTCTTATCTGGACCAAGTGCTGTGAAGTCGCTGATGCGCAGTTTCCTTGTCTGTAAAATGGGGACAATAAGAGTACCTCACAGAGTTGGTTGCTCTGGGGATTAAACGTGGTAAGGTTTGTGAAGCACTTACTTAGAACTGGACCTGGCACATAGTAAGTGCTCAGTGAACGTTCATTACAGGTAAGGGATGGGTGAGGGATGGGGAAGGTGTGGATGAGCCCAAGGTCCTTACTGCAGCCTAGGGGAGCCGGGTCCCTCTTGCAGCTGCGGGAAGGGGCGTGGTTAACCCATAGGGGCGTGATCTAAACTTTAAGGGCAGACCAATGGGGGGCCCGAAGGGCGTGGCTCTGACCGGCATGGGCGTGACCTTGCACGGGTGGGCGGGGCCAGGCCGCTGTGGGAGCCTCCGGGAAGATGCTCGGGCCAGCAGCCACCGTCAGTCCTGCCGCCGCTGCTGCCTGCGCCCGCCGCCCCCCGCGTCCCCACTAGCGGCCGCCTCCGCCTCCCACCTCTGGCCCCGCTCCTCCGGCCCCCCGCCCCGAGCAGGGTCTGGGGGGCTCGGCCCTCTGGCCCTGGTAGCAAAGAAGGGAGTTCCGACCCCCGAGTGGCGCGGCCAGTCCCCGGCTCCCTGATCTTGAGAGAGACCCCACCCCTCAGTTCTCTCTGGGCCCCATCCGAGAACCCCTTGGTCCTCCCATCCTGCTCACATCCGCTCTCCAGCCTCTGTCAGCCCCCCAGAAGCAGCTCCCTCCCTCCTTCCCTGTCCGGGGTTCCCCCTCCCCCATCCCT